CCAAGATCTTTAGGAATTTTCTTAAAATTGTACCATAACAGTTTTAATTGTTAATTAAATCATGATGTCTCTTCTTTCTTCACTGATATGTTCTAAGATTTTTTTTTTCTCATTTACTCTTCTACTTTTCATAGTCTTCCTTTAGGATACACTTGTGAATTACTTGTCAAAGTTTTAAATTTTTGTTATTTATTTATTTATTCATTACAATTTATTCATTTTGTATCCCCACTGCAGCCCCCTCCCTAGTCTCCTGCTAGTCCCATTCTCCCTTCCTTTTCTCCCCCTTTGCCCTTTCCCTAGTACTCTCATAAGGGAGGACCTCCTCCCCTTCTAATTGACCCTAGTTTATCAAGTCTCATCAGGGCTGGCTGCATCATCTTCCTCTGTGGTCTGGCAAGGCTGTAACCCCAAGGGGGAGAAAATGTAAATAGACCCATATTTATCAACCTGCACAAAAGTAAAGTCCAAGTGGATCAAGAATTTCAACATAAAACCAGACACACTAAATCTGTTAGAAGAAAAATTGGGGGAGCTTTGACCTCATTGGTACAGGAGACAACTTCCCGAAGAGAACAGCAACAGAACAGGCTCTAATATCAACAAACAAACTTTTAATTTTAGAACTCCTATTGTGTATCCAGCCAATTATGCTGAATATATATGTATGTATATACATATAAAAGATATAATTGATAGAAAATAACCTATATATCTCTCCCTCAATATTGTATTTCAAATTTCATAAGAACGTTTGCTACTCACCCATTCTATGTTTTCATTTTCTGTTTTATGCTTCATGCTTCTAACACCATTAGAAGGCTAAAGACACTTTTTCCACAGCTTACTGGAGGCTTTGTTATTGTTTTCAGGACATAAAACATTCAATTTTAAGAACAATTTGGTAAATGTTTAACCACAATTATACACAAAAATGATTTTATTGCTTAAATGGCAGCTTTAAAAACATATTTAAGGCATAGTTCTTCAATATAATTCTGCAATTGTTCTTCATGATTCTTCCAGAGTGATTGAAGTTGGCTAATTGAATATTTAACTAATTATATGAAGAACTGAGTCTCTTCTCATTTCCAGAATGAAGGTCATTTCATCTCAGAATCTCTGCTAATAGCTGTGGGTGTGAAGTTCCTCTGCAACAGCGGAGCTCATTTGAATATTTTAATGAAGAAACAAAGCAAACAGGAGTTATTATACATCACAGTGTTTACTTCTGAGGGAATTGTGATTTATCAGCCAATCTACTCCTTGTTTACAAGAGTACTGGGATATATATTTCCTCTATTAGGACCCTCAGAAACCTGTGAAAGTGAGATACCTGGACATTTTATGACTGTTTAGGGATTTAAGCCATATATCATCCCATTCACACCAGATCAACTAGTTGATTTAAATTAGAGAAAGAAAACCTCCTGGAGATATTTCAAACAAATGACTTCGATACCTAAGACATTACAGAAACACACAGTTAGGGGATCTTGGCAGGCTTTTTAATTTGTTTATGCATTGCTTTTAAATTAATACCCTTGAGATATTAGATAATTTTCTTGTGATATTATAGTAAATTACTGTCACAATTATTACCAGAAATGGCCATAAATGAGTTTATATGTGTTTTAAAATTTTACTTTTAGGTTTATTGTTGTATAATGATCTTTAATTACTATTTCATAGCTTCTTATTAAATAAAATAATCTCTCAAAATGTTAAATAGCATACCACTGTAACAGAGGGACTAACACTATCCAGATACAAGATTTAAAACTGAGTTAAATACAATAACTCAGCCAAAGAGACCACTGCGGTTTGTTGTCATTTGTTTTGTCCCCAGTAAACAAACTCTCCAGTAAAACTCATCCATCAGAATGAGTTAAAGATTTAGGCACTGTTTTTTCCTCCACTTTATTTGGGGTTCCTAAAGCTCGACCTCCCTTCTGTTCTCCCAACACTAGGTAGAAGAGAAAGAATGTTAGAAGGGAAAGGGGAATTATACATGTTCTTTTCATCTGTGGATCCTGATCTAAGAAACATACAATGGATACTCATGCATATTATACATATATAAATGCACACGGGAATGCAGTATAACATGCATAAAGGAGAATATGAAAGAATAAAGGGTAGGTGATGAACGACTGAATAAAAGTGATGAATATAAGTCACACAAGAGAAAACAAGCTGTTTTTCTAGCTCCAAATCCTTCATGGATTTTTTTATTTTTATTTTTTTTTTGGTAAGATAGAAGCACAAAAATATATTTGATAATGAAAGTCTAAAATCAAATGTGAAGATACTCAGCTTCAAAATGGTGTTTCAACTGTACCAAAGTTCAAAAAGATGAAAAACTTTGGGTCTCATTAATTTAGTTTTTTTTTTTTTCAAATTCTTATTTCCTTTTTATCTCTTTCTCCTTTGGTTTTTGAAGACAGGGTTTCTCTGTGTAGCCTTGGCTGTCCTAGACTTGCTTTGTAGACCAGGCTAGACTCGAAATTACAGTGATCTGCCTGCCTCTGCATTCCAGAATGCTGTAATGATAGGCATGTGCCACCATGCCCTGTCATTTAAACATTCTTAATAATAATGTTTAATTATAAAGAGTTCTACACATGCTTCTGTATCAACTTTCACCCAATGCAATCTAACTTACTATGTGTTACTACCAGTAAGTGGTTTAAAAAGTAATATACAATACATATGTATTAAATTTGTCTAGTAAAGATTAGGGAGATTATTAAAAGCTCACAACCAAAACTTCCAAAGTTGTCTAGTAAAATTACTTGTATGGTTTGATATAAGGCTAAATAACACTTTTTTATTCAACAAAATAATGGATGGAATCCTCACCAACTGAAGAGGGGGGGGAGCAGTTTTTTTGTTTGTTTTATTTTTTGTTTGCCTTTTTTTTCTACCAGCTATAGTTTCTCGTCACATATGGTGTCCTACATGTCTATTTACCCCTTCCAAACATGTGGAAAGGCTTAGAAAAGAAACAGCCCCGGTAGGTCTTTTTAAATTTTAGAGAAATGTATGTATGTATTTACTAGCTAACCCCTTGATTAACAGTCACTTGAAATTAACATTTCATATTGTCTGAAAAATTGAACAATATTAAATTAATTAATACAATGTTAGATGTTAATGTTACACAATGAATGTTAATTAACAGTCACCTGAAATTAATATTTCATATCATTTGAATGTTAGACTTCAGGAGCAAAAGGCATATTACATCAAACAAAATTTTCATAGCTTTCAGGTGAAAAATACACCACGTTGGCCAAGCTTTCTTCTAAGAATTAGGTAGTCATATTTATTTAGTTCCTTACAATTTAGTTTCCATCAATTTAGTAAGGTTTCCTAAGACATCAAAAGGGTTTTTTTTCTCTCTCTTTTTACATAATAAATAGATAAATCTTTCAAAAAAGATATTTCCAGCAGGTTTCTCCCAATACCACACTTTACATGCCTTAACTATCTTCCCTGGTGTGAAACGAAGGGGAACAAATGACATTTGGCCAAGTTTATGTCCAGCAAACCAAGGCTCTGTCTGCAAGGAGGGAAGGGAGAAATGATGGGGAACAAGATGCAGGCCCCAGTACAGCTAATACTCAGGTGGGGTGAACCCTCCTTAAAAACTCAAGATCCCTGCGGGGGGGAGCAGCCTTACCAGGCCACAGAGGAAGACAATGCCACTCCTGATGAGACCTAACAGTCTAGGATCAGAAGGAAGGAAAAGAAGACCTCCCCTGCCAGTGGACTTGGGGAGGGGCATGGATGGAGAAGGAAGAGGAAGGTAGGAATTGGGAGGAGAGGAGGGAGAGAACTAAAGGGGAAATACAAAGTAAATAAAGTGTAATTAATAAAAAATAAAAATAAAAACCCCCTCAAAATCCCAAGATTCCACTTCACGGTGTTCCTTCCTTCCCTTGCCAACCCAACCGCCTGCTAACCGCGTGTATCTGGGCTCCGTCCATGTCAGTCGGCTGCTTTTTGAACTTCTCAGCCCAACTTCATCTGCCACGTATATCAGATGGACAGTCTGGCTTCTTCTTGCATTCTGTAACAACCATGCACTTGGAGAGAAGCCCTAAGATGCACAGAGAGAGGCTCTTACTCCACCCAGCTCATGTAGACAAATTACGTGGACACTCTTCAGAGAAGGGGGAGTCTTTGCTGATGACTTGGGGAAGCCAGAACTCTGAAGACAACATGGAACAGCGACATCTGAAGGGAACTCAGACCCAGGGCAAGTCCTATAAGTCTCTGCAATCTCCCAGGACAACACTATTTAGTCGCCACACTGTCCAGTGGCACAGGAGCACGAATCAGGCACCACCTCCACACAGGTTCTCTGGGAAGAGCCTGGTTTGTCCTCGTGGGTGCATGGACTAGGAGCAGTACTGCGGACCTGCTGACCTCCGTGCTACTGACACACAGGAAAGACTTCTAGAGATTCTTAGCTGCTTCGATGATGTGTTCCATGAGGCTTTACAAATTTTACCACCTCCTCAGGCTAGGGCTGGTCACAAGCGCTGTGCCAAATGCCAGCAATGAATGGTAGGTTTAGAATGTTGAGGGCCCTTGCCCTAAAGATGTGTGCCTATTTGCATTGGATTGCCTCCATCCTCTGGGGCTGGCTCTAGGCTCCCCATACCCTGTACCTTTCTGGACCACCCACCTGCTCGATAGTGGAGGCCCACAGCCTCCTGTACTCAGCATGGTCCTTCACTGGTTACGGTCACAACTACTACATTGCTCCAGAGCCTCTGAGACCAGCTAGCAGGTCCTCAGCTGAGCCCTCTCTACCGATACAGAAGGACAGAATAGATTGTACCTTGTGAGGCCTTTAGTAGACAGGCACAGGAAGCACAGCCCTGCCCACATGTTACACACGGGGAGAGGAAAGGGAATAAATAAATAATCGTCATCAAACACAGGTGAATACAGGTTTCTCTTCCAGGTGACTGGGGCAGAGGTCCCGCTCAGCACACCTGGTTCATCATGGAAGTTACCGTGTTATGGAAGGCCCTCGACTGGAGGCGGTCTCCAGGGTTGTAGAATGGGTCGCACATCACATCTGTGTAGGAGTTATGCAGCTTCCGGATCCCATTGTCTCGGAGGGCTGTATTGGAGGAATCCACCACCATGAGAAACTTTACCTTGGAAATGGTCACATAGCCGTATGCCTTGTAGTTCTTGGGTAGAGCAGGCCCAGGTACCGCTCGCTGGCCCACCAGTGCTTTTCCCATGGCAGAGATCTTCTCATCTACCACGTCCAGGGACGTGTGTACCATGTAGTGGAACGTGAGCTCACTCTCTGTGGGAGTGCTCTGGATGTACAGAGGGTAATTCTCCTTGGCGATCGCCATGCACACCTCCATACTGGCAGACCAGTTTTTTTATACAGTTTAGCATATGGACTTTATCAACTCAAGCTAAAATCTTGATATTTTCAACATGTCGAGATTGTTCTGTGTTGTCGCCTTGTTATTGTCAGATCTGTGTAACTGTGTGTGTCTGAGTGTCTGTGTGTGTGTCCATGTCTCTGTGTGCATGTGTGTACATGTGTGCATATTTGTTTTATAGGCTTGCACTTAGTTAAACTCAAGGTCTTTTGTGGATTCTACATTTGTTTTGACTGAATGAACAGCAGGTAAGCTGTTCCACAGTAAACTATAAGAGCATGTCCTGCGTGTCAAACACCATGTTTGAAATCATATTCTATATGTTATTTTTCTTTTTTTTTCAGAATCAAGAGATATCCTTTAAATTATTGGCATTTGTCCTCTGTGGTGGTAAAAAGGAGAGGAATAAAATTCTATTGTCTAATGTTCAAAGGTATAGAAATATCATGTGAAAATAAGTATGAGCATTTAAGGATAGACATTTTCCTGTACTGATCCCAACAGCAACATTATTCCTCTCGGATGCTTTGCTGGATATTAGGTGTTGGTGATGTTCATATTAGAACTCCTCCAGATAAAAAAATACAAAAAATCTAAGGGTGAGTAATTCTATTTACCATGGTATTGTTTTCCCCAATCTGTTGGTAGAAGATTTAATTCACAGGAGGATCCCAGCAATGCACTCCCTGTAACAGGATGACTGAGGCCAAATGGAGTCATACTGGAAGGAAGCTCTTCCATCAAAGTAATTTTCAGGAAAAGCAGAAATGAGAAGAAAACGTAGGAAGAAGAGACAAAGAGCAGAGGATTAGAGAGCAGGAAGGCTCATCATCTTAATGTTATAAGTAAAGATGAATGGTCACTTCAGAATGTTGTATGAATGTACTTATTTTCCAAGATGCTTCATTTGTTCATTTCAATGTGTTTGAAACTCTTAAACTTTAGTAAATTTAATTACTGAGTGTAGGCATACTATGGTTATTTTGTAATGCAAATGTTGATTTCTGTATCCCCCATATCTGTTTGCAAGTCTTGTTCAGAAAATCTCATCTTACAGTTGTATAAACTCTCTTCCCTATGGTACCATGATAAAGCAGCTTACAGCCAATTACTGAGTAGGGGAGAGTATAAGGCTGGACTTTCTGCCAGCCAAGGGAGGAGGAGTCACAGTAGGAGTGGGGCATTCAGCCAAGGGAGAATTTCAGGTAACATGAAGAGAGAGAGAGAGCGTGGCAAAAAAAGCTACAAAGTGCAATTATTCTGGGATATACTCTGGGAAGAAACCAAAATAGCTTAGAGGGTTAATAATAGAGTAATATCTACTCAGTTATTGTGTTGTGAAGCTTATTGTTAAAAAAGAATTATAGAGTCTCAATTATTTGTATGATAGCTGGGTTTAGAGAGGAAAAGAGAAACAAAAACAGTTATATAGAAAGAACTGTAACAAATGGCATACCAAGGGGGGCAGAATTTACAGTATTCTAGCAAAAACTTACATAGAAAATAAAACTACATAGAAGTTTCTTAGTTCTGTTCCTTCAAATACAAAGCAAAAACGGTTTCTAAAGCAGGAGTTCACAGCTTCCCAATAAGACAGACCCTGGCTAGGCCAACTGCAGAAAAATTAAAATTGATGCATACAAAACCCAAAGAAGCAGGTTCTTTAGACAGAGGGTGAAAAAGTGGTTCTTTCTAACACAGGCAAGCTTCTCAAAGCCAGAATTTCCTACCCAAGACAAGGCTCTAAATCTCTTTGAAAAGGGGCTCTTGCTTGCCTGACTATTGCAGACCAGATGAGCAAACACTGGTAGAACCATTAACTTCTCAGCATGAAGAAGGGGTCAGGATCAGGGAAGGGGGGAAAAGCCTCTCTTTGGAAGCAGGAGCCAGAGACAAAGAAGTCTCAAGCACCTGAACTGGTAAGCTCAAGAAGGAAAGCTGGATCTCAAGAAAGTAAAGTCCTGATATTTTATTATTTTTATTTTTTATGTAAATGGGTATTTGCCTGGATGTATGTCTATGCACCATGCATGTCAGTGTCTGCCAAGGTCAGAAAAGAGCATAAAGTTCTTAGGGAGAGGTTTTGATATTAAAGATTATTTTCTGTGTTTAAAATGGAGGAAAACAATGACACTGTACATCTGGATTCCATTTGAACAATTTTTTTGAATTGATGATTATAGTTTTGCATATTCTTTTTTATTACTTTTTTATTTTTTTTATATTATTCACAGGTTGTTTACTTTGTATCCCAGGTATAGCCCCTTCCTCATTCCCTTCCAATCCCACCCTCCCTCCATCATCTCCTCCCTGCCCCTTTCCAAGTCCACTGCTAGGGGAGGTCCTCTTCCCCTTACATCTGACCCTAGCTTATCAGGTATCTTCAGGACTGGCTGCAATGTCCTCCTCTGTGGTCTAGCAAGACTGTTCCTCCCTCAGGGGTGGAGGGAAGCCAGTAATTGAGCTCATGTTGGGAAATAGTTCCTGTTCCCCTTACTAGGGAAACCCACTTGGTTACTGAGCTACCATGGGCTACAACTGAACAGGGGTTCTAGCTTATATCTATACATGGTCCTTGGTTGGAGAAACAGTCTCATAGTGGGCCCCTGTGCCTTGGTATATTTTGTCCTTGTGAAGTGCCTGTCCTCTCCTGGTCATATTAACTCCCCTTTTATCATATGATTCTCTGCACTTAGCCGAAGGTTTGGTTATAAGTCTCTGCATCTGCCCTCTGTGGTAGGCTCCTGACCTGTTACTTGTTTTCTCCTACTTCCCATGTCCATCCCATTTGTCTTTCTAAGTGAGGGTTGATCACCTTACTCCGGGTCCTCTTTCTTGTTTATCTTCTTTAAGTGTACAGATTTTAGTATGATTATCGTATCTTATAGGTCTATATAAGTGAGTATATTACCGTGTGTGTCTTTCTGCTCCTGGGATACCTCACTCAGGATGATCTTTTCTAGATGCCACCATTTGCCTGCAAATTTCATGATTTCCTTGTTTTTAATTGCTGAGTAGTATTCCATTGTGTAAAAGTACCACAATTTATGTATCCATTCCTTTTTTGATGGACATCTGGGTTGTTTCCAGGCTCTGGCAATTACAAATAAAGCCACGACAAACATGGTTGAGCAAATGTCCTTGTTGTGTACTTGAGCATCTTTTAGATATATGCTTAGGAGTGGTATAGCTTGATCTTGAGGAAACACTATTCCTAATTGCCTGAGAAAGCACCAGATTGATTTCCAAAGTGGTTGTACAATTTTACATTCCCATCAACAATGGAGGAAGATACCCAATTCTCCACAACCTCTGGAGCATGTGTTGTCACTTGAGTTCCTAACCTTTGTCATTCTGATGGGTATAAGGTGAAATCTCAGGGTCATTTTGATTTCCATCTCTCTGATGGCTAAGAATTGTGAACATCCCTTTAGGTGTTTCTCTGCCATTCTATATTCCTCTACAGAGAAATCTCTGTTTAGCTCCGTACCCCATTTTTTAATTGGATTGCTTGATTTATTGCTTTTTAATTTCTTTAGTTCTTTATATATTCTGGATATTAGCCCTCTGTCAGATATAAGGTGGGTGAAGATCCTTTCCCAGTCTGTAGGCTGAAAGGAGACTCAATGGAACTGAATATAAGATGCAGAACTAAACCCACATACCTATAAATACTTAATTTTCAACAAAGAAGCCAAAACCATTCAGTGGAAAAAAGACAGCATCTTCAACAAATGGTGCTGGTCCAACTGGATGTCTACATGCAGAAAAATGAAATTAGAGCCATATTTATCACCCTGCACAAAACTAAAGTCCAAGTGGATCAAAGACCTCAACATAAAATCAGACACACTAAATCAGTTGGAAGAGAAAGTGGGGAAGAGCCAAGAACTCATTGGCACAGGAGACAACTTCCTGAACAGAACACCAGCAGCACAGGCTCTAAGAGCAACAATCAATAAATGGGACCTCATGAAACTGAAAAGCTTCTGTAAAGCAGAAAACATTGTCATCAGAACAAAATGACAGTTTTGTATATTCTTTGGGACAGATCAGGATAAGACAGACTTGGAAAAAGAAGAGACTGAGAAAATAGATGCTAAATTAAAGGCCATAGAACTGAGGTCAGAGGTATCCTTGAACCAAAATAGGGTACCTTCAGAGAAATGAAATCTGGAAATTACAATAACACCTAAAGAGGTAGTTCCCAGTAAGCCAAGTCCACAAAGGGTTGAATATATTGCAAAATGGTAGCCATTGAGATTGTGGAGAGAATGTATTTAGCTATAGGCCAACACGGTCAGACTGAATATTTGTATATGTATTATCAAGGTTCAATTATTGGATAAAGGTCTATATGCTAAAGTGGAAACGCCGATCCTATTTAGTATTTTCTTGAAACAAGATCATACAGTGACTTATATGCTCAATTTTACAGGGATTAGAAAACTAAAATATATGCACCATATCACAGGGTCATATGCAAAATTCCAGTGGGCTTTTGCCTTAAATTCTGGAGAGCATGGTTCTAAGGTTGCACATTTCTCTGTCAAATATTCTGGGGCCAGAAGGCTAAAGATGATACTGCAATGTTATAGAAGAATTTTGGACAACTGTCAGGCAGCCTAATTTCTCTGTAATTTCTATACTTTTGGAAAATACTTGTCTGCACTTCCTCTGTATTAAGGTAATATTTGTTCCTTCTTAAATCTCTGATGTGGTTGAAGACTAGATTGATATAGTCTCACTGTCAAATTGTTTAAAATGATAGAAACTGATAGTAGAATCCTTTATCCAAAGGTGCTAAAAATTTACAAATGTCAATCTTACCTAATAATTTCAATAATTGTTCATATTGCATATAGTTCTTAATTGTAAGAGAGGGAGCCTTTTATTAGACTAAAAGGGGGATATATAGGCATAATGTTATCATGTAATGCAAGTGCTGATTTCTCTATCTTCCATATCTGGTTGCA